CTGCTCGGTAATCACAACTTGGCAGTAAAATGTACGTATAAAGCAGCATGTTTTTCGTGCATTTATCACCATAGACTATTGCGAAGAGAGTTTAGTTGGAATAAGAACCGCATTAAGCTCGCGACGAGCGCTCCACATACGACAGTGCAGAAGAGACCGGAAATATCTGGAGGCGGCGGACTCCGTAGCACGCAAGCCACGAGTCAACGAAACAGTCGATATATATAAATCGACCTATAATTTCAGATGTCAAGTAAGTGCAAGACATACCAATACTTACATTTGTAAAACAATTTCTATTAATTCTTCATGGGAAACTTACGTTGGCCGAGTGGTTTACAATTAGATCAAAAGTACCGATTCAAACGCGCATTTCCGAAAAACGAAGTTTGTTGAAAATTTTGCAAGCTTGTCAAGTAAGCCCGTAACTGCAGATAATTTGCAATAAAATGATTATTGGACAAAGTTAATACTTGTCAATGAATTATGACTAATTTCGCTGGAAAATATTTACGTTTAGAGCCATTTTAATTTTTCCGCTCATCTCGAAAAGCTGGATTCAGCAATATACTCGAAATAAATGTCAATATATTTAATAGGTAATATCGCCTTCACATAAGAAATTAACCTAGTGAAGATACGGAACCGTACAAAATCTCGCTTCTCTATCCTTGAAATTATGCTCTATAAAAAATTCTGAGGAAATCTGTTGTATTTAGATCGAGCTTAATTTTAGTGTCGTCGCCCTCGAGCAGCAGGAGGCTCTACCAGCGTACGAAACCGTACAAAATCTCGCTTCTCTATCCTTGAAATTATGCTTTATAAAAAGTCCGAGAGGAAATCTGTTGTAGTTAGATCGAGCTTAATTTTAGTGTCGTCGCCCTCAAACAGGAGGCTCGGCCAGCGTAGCAACAGCTCGACCAAGCGACTGCCGAGACGCCAGGGACGGAGAAAAAGAACAGAGGTATGCATGCCACTTGTCAACCTCGTGGCGCCATGCAACTATAATTCCACGGCGACGCGATAACTGCAGCTATAACTACAGACTATAACAACAACCGTGATCAAATGAGACTAAATATTCGTTAATAATTCGTCTTTTTCAAGATCGTTTCGTCAGGTTTTGTGAATTAAGGTTTTAAAGCAAAAAGTGCCTCAGTAATTTTTTTTGATCAAATATTGACGAACAAATTGGTTTAGAATTGATTTGGTATCATCAAAATGGGTGCAAAAGTTAGTATTGTCACGTATAGTTCAATGGAAAACTCTGCATGTCGGTGACAACAGAAGTGCTCTCTAACTAATCCACAGGACTAATGATTATAACCGAATCTGGAACAAACCTTAATTAGCCCAGACCAAATCTACAGCGAATTTCGATCCCAAAAAACGTCTTATTAAGGCACAATTGATTTTTGTCCCAAATAAATAGTTCAAAAGGGAAGTGAAAGCATAAAAATAGAAAAGGAATATCTTTATTCCGAGTATGCAAAATACAATTTGTAACTCAACACAAATATACAATATCACATTGTATGCCACCTGCGCAGGTGTGGCACGACAGAAATGCTCCACAATAACTAGCAACTCCATAACTTCTTCCTACAACCTATGCATAAATAACAATAGTGAGATTCTCAGAATGACGAGACAAATTCAAAATATATATTTTCATCGTCACAGAAATAATTAGAAAAACAAGCGCCATAACTAGATCCGTATTTATAATGTTACTTACATTGAGTCATTTATGTCAGGTTAAAAGTTATTAGCACCTACTATTTAATATTGCCAATTACTATTCAAATACTCGAGTTTATAATGCATTTTTGTATTAAGAGTAATTACAATAATTCAAATGAGAGAACGGTTAACATAATTCAAAATCAATACTGGCATTCCAAATAGAACTACAGGGCATGGTGCATGGCCTGAATGTTTTATTTTAGGTATAGTAAGGCACTTGAGCTTATCACAATCTGATAAAGATACGTTCACAGTCAATAGCGATACATCAGTCTTCTTGAGCAATTATTTGAAAAAATTGAGCAGTGCAATAATTATTTTTTAACCTGCAACAATGCAATTCTAAAATAAACACCTACTACGCCATTAGCATGTATAAATTAAGCCAATTACACATATTATCGACTTGGAAAATATTATTCAATTGCAGATACCAAATTTTAATTTGAATCTGAAGTCAGTCTTTGAATACACCAATGCCATGTTAGACTTGGCCTATCAACTAATACATCATTCATGGAAACGGAATTTAAGCTCCATGCGCTACAATACAAGTGGGAAAGAACCACAAACTGCACCACAAGAACCACTAACTGCACAAACCACTAACGTCAACACATTGTCGACCATTTTAATACAGTTTCAGATTTCTCAATGCATAGGAATATTTTGTGCTATAAATAAGTACGGTACATGATATGCAAAAGAGTTCGTGGGTGGATTTTATAACATCACTGCAATAAAAAATAACATTTACACTGGTATTACAGCGCCTTCGGACAGAAAGACTCGTAGTGAAAGTTTTTTAGTCGACGACGAAATATAAAAAAATACATCAAAGAAATCATTGCAAGTCACAAAAAATTTATTGAAACAATCCAGCAGGTTTTCACAATCCTATTTACAACAATATCCTATTTATGGCGTTTACAGAGTTTTTGGTTTATAGATTTGCTTAGCCGGAAAAAGTAAGAATTGCTGATATTGAAACAAAAAAATCCGTTAGAATGACTTGACACCGAGGATAATATAGGAAAATATGTAATATCTCACCAACAATTCACACACATCTCGTTGACCAAAAAGCCTGCAAAATCCTAGGCTGAAGGCCCAAGGAACATCTTCAAGATTTATTAGAAGACGCATTCTGTTCGAAAAAAATTACTTAGTTGGTAATGGAAAAGTGTGGTGGAATAAAGAAGTCGGACTTGAAAACTGATAATGCAATGTGATGGCGCTTAATCACATGAAACTGGACTTGAAAACGCAAATTAAACTCTACGTTGGACACATCTTTACTTGTAACAAATGACACGAGCAGCGTGATATGTTAAAGTTAGCTTCGTAGGAACTGGAGTGTAAATAAGACTACGGTACAGGAGGCCGTTGAATTCAAATTCGCTGGTGGGAAGAACTTTCAATATACATTTACAATAAATGCTTCAGACTTAAACATTTTAAAACCCACTTTTTTGCGCACTGCATAACTAATAAGATAATGGCAGAGCGGAGTTGTCACGTTACAATTTCACAGTCATGACCATTTATTGTGAGACCAAATCAACGACATTGCACCAAAAGAAAGAAGGTATAAACGTTCTTCATATGTATAAAAAATAGACATGCACCCAAAACTGACGGAAGACATAACGCAACTCGCCGATAGCGATGTACAGGTACAAATGCATTTTAGCAGCGTCTGTTATCATAATATCAATTGAGAGGTAAGGGACTAACAACTTATGATTAACTAAAATACTTTCCCAACGCGTTTGATACAACGAGACTCCAATGCATACCATCCGATAAATAAAAAATAAATCGTGTCGATAATATTGAAATATATTGAATAGCTCCACTATTGAAAAATTCTTATCATTAGGACTGACACACCAGCTAGTGGCATCAATATAGACGATATTAATTTATCTTCAGTGTTATCCTTCAAAATAACGGTTGTGTAAAGCAGCTAGTCGTTGACATATATAGTGAAAATAACATAATGTTATGAGTTTTTAAAAGAAACGTAGTTGGTTTCTGTAACCAGCGAACTTACAAACCTATTTCAATGGAAGTAAGATGCAGAAAACAAGTCTTTCTCGGATCAGTTATGTACCGGGCTTTAAATTTCAATGACATTAGCTCAAACAATCCCTTCCTCTTCTACCACAAGAAACAACCTAAAACTCTGTGAACGGGTCATCAAATATTATTCAACAGTGCAAATTTTTTCTCGTCTTGTTAAGCTTTTATTGACACCAGCATTGATTATCATCACTAAAAACAATACAATTCAAGAATATTATCACACTTTAGTAAGAACTTGACATACTCAGCACCTGGTTCCAACCAACGCTCAAACCAATTTAATAGAAAATAAAATTTGGCGAAATAATAACAAAGTTAAACAAACTGACGCACCAGATTCTTGTGCAACAATATCACAATTTAGACATTTGAATAGAAATATTTAATGCCTAATTATAATCCATACATATTGAAATAATTAAATAGAACCATCAAATTTAGCGACTAAATTGACAGATTAGATGCCATCAGACATCCGCTTTTAAATTAGATCCATTCGATAAGAATAAAACATCTGAAGAACACACGATTGTTGATAAATTCGTGTTTCAATAGCAAATAAAATAACTCTGAATATGCGAGGAACTGGCACTCAAAGAGCATAAATTATTACACTAGACTTCCCATAGAGAAATAGACTTCAAATTTAGTTGGATTTGAAACGATGCACATTTTGGTGACACTAATCCTCACAAAATGAGATAATAAACGCATAACATTGATAACAATAATAAACGATACATGATAGATTAGGAGTTGATTCGCATGCACGAGCACACAAACGCTGTAAATATTATACAAGTCCTCCATATACAGTCGAGACTTCTTCAACAAACTAACAAGCACATAACTCTAAGTACGAATGATTTCATACATTTCATATCTCGTGATGGAAGAAAATTAGCTGCATTAGTTGCAATCTAGTTTCAAATGTGAAATGAACATGATGTGATTTTTCAAGCTAGCAGCTTAAACACGAATCAAGGGATTTCGTGAACTAGTCTAGTGTAAGAACTAGGATTCTTCGTAAGTATCGAGTAAAGGTCAAATTCTAGAAGCTGGATGTACATTCGTAATAAAATTTAATTCATCTCACGCCATCGGAGTTTAATATCAAATCACTAATAAAAACCTTTCATTCTTAATGATTAGGAATCACTACAGAAAATTGCGAAACTATTAAATTTCTTGACTTACGATAGCCTTTCTTCGACTGTGAGGCATACGGCAACAAGTAAAAATATACAAAGCCATTATTGTCACAATATTCTAAGCGTAATAATTTAATCAACAGTAACTATAGCTATATCCTCGCGAGACACGCGGGTTGAGTTGCAGCCGCTGCCATACGTGGAGTCTGCGGATTCACTTCCTCTTGCAGATCTTTGCAAAAGAGACGTTCTTTCAGAAAGATCTTCGTCTGGATAGTAGCGGTAGTAGCAAGATAGGAAGATTGTGACAATGGCCACCAATAAGTGAAGCAGGGCAATGATGGAGGTGCCCCAACCAAATCCAATGGTATCAAACATGACCCCGGCGATGGATGGCCCGATGAAGGCGCCAAGCGCAAAAGAAGAATTCCAGAGTCCGGACACGAGGCCGTAGGTTGTGAGATCGTCAGGGAGCCCAGCCTCGACGGCATCCTTTTGCGTCCCGCTGAAAGTGGCCACAAACTGGGCCCCGAAGCCAAGGCCATGAATCACCAAGGCACATATACACAGAGGTAAGCTGTTTTTTATGGGAAGAATGGGTGAAGGACCCAACATCAAGAAAGCCACAGTGACTGTTAAAGCCCCCATCGTTGTAGCAGCTCGCTCTGGAAGACATCTGTCGCATAAACGGCCCCAAATCGGCGCAGAAACGGCATAAGCAAAGCCGTTTAATACGAAGATTAGGCCGATCTCCAGAGGAGTTAGATTCAACGGACGTATATGGGGCTCCAGAGTTGAAAACAAGAAGCCAACGCTGATAGACCCCGACATTGTTGTGAAGGCGAAAAGGAATATTTTTGGTTTCCTCAAAAGCGAAAACACCGAGTATCTTGAAGTTGGTCTGTTGAGACTACCTTCCACAGGTAAGAAGTACCACACCATTGCTGCTGCGACCATCAAGACGCAGCCGAGCACCACAAATGGCAGAGTGAAGCCTCCCAACTCGTACAAAGCGCCTCCGACTGTGGGTCCCGCTATCAAACCAAGCCCGAAGAAAGTTTCCAGAGTGGCAAAAGCAGAAGCAACATTCAAGGGGAACTCCTGCGCTATAATGCTGAAAGCTGTGGTGATGAAGGCGGCATTACCTAGCGCTTCTATTATCCGAATGATGAACGAGAATGTCAAGAAAACAGTAGGTCCGCTCATCCGGTTAAGAAACCCAAATAAAATGCACGATACTGAAACTGTGAAAATTCCAGCATTGTTCATGAAGTTGACTCCTATTCTCTCCAAGAACTGTCCGTATATTGGACACACAGTGAACACTACAAGTTCGAAAACTGCAAACACGAAACTGTACTGCGTGGCTGTGGCACCTTTCATCTCAGCTTCATGTGGATAGAATGGTGCTTGTAGTGACACACACACGGCATTGCAGAATTGTGCAATGCAGAACACGATGAGCGTTAACCACTGTTTACGGGTGTAGTTTCCCATCGTGAATGCTCGAACCTCAGACTCGAGGAACCGGCGTCACTGCTTAGCGTCTATAAACACTTGTCCTTATGCGAACAGCACTTTTTCAGCATGTGTGCCTCGCAATCTAGCTTTGTAGAAAACAATTCAAGTTGTTAAATCAGCTGTCCGAATTGTGAATCCTCTAAAGACGTTCAAATACATGAGATTTACTGTGGCGATGTCAGACAAAACTACTGGTGAGGACAGACTGTCGTCACATGAGCAGACACACGTGCACTGTGCAGTCGACTGGAGCCAAGGTTGGAGCTACACTCTCGCCCTCCCCCCCTCCGCACCCCCAAATGCGGCTGTTGTCTGTGGTGCCAAGCTGGTCTCGTGGAGGTGGGGCGATGTGGAGGTGGGACGCTCTGCAGTTTGGAGGACACTATGCAGGCAACAAAACACATGCGCGTTAATAAAAATATGAAAAACAATTGAGCAAAAAAAACGAGCAGGCGCAATTTGTTGACAAAAAAATTGGGTTAATGACTTCTGTTACACTTGTACGTACGAACAGGAATGTAAGATGAGCGAGTATCATGGAGGTGGAAATACAATGCAGGTTCAGCCGCCCAGTCTAAGCTAGCAACTATTATCAGCAGCTGCAGTAGGATAGTGCACTTGCACTGCATTGTAACTAGGCACCGGCGGCGCCATGCTCACCGGTTCATGTACATGCGGCGAAAGTGTGAACCCTGCCGCGGCTGACACAGCAGAGAACAAATACCAATAAACATTGACTGGAAGACGCGGCATGAGAAACACTTGGCTCCATCACAGGCCTATTACAGTTACATTGCCACATTCCTTGCATAAGTTTTCTTTATAGAAAAATACAAATATCACAGCCAGAAATAGATAAAATGACGTTTAAAAAAAAAAAAATTCTTGACTTCAGCAGCCGTGCTGGGGAAATTCTGGTATTCTTAAAAAATTGTTTCAAGATAAACAGAGCTCAGATACTAGAATGAAATTAGTGTAAAGAAAGTTTACATGCATGAAACAAATCTGTCAGATCTCAAATTCATGTGACATCTCATGATATCAATAGCATTAACGAAATATTCAATCCGGTAAAGTTTAATACATTGAAAAGGACGATAAAATCAAATAAGTGTAAATTATACCATTATTTAGCAACAAATAGTGGGAACGGGAAATTTTAACGAATGATACGAAATTATTAACAGTGACATCTTGACTAGAGCCTCGTTTCGAGAAGAATGGCAAATTGCATCGCTGAAACATTTCTACAACTAAAATTCATATCCAAGACCAAACGTCTTTTGATTGCGATAAAATCTGAACTAGTAACAATTGTATCCAAGATACGAGCACATAGAACTAAGAAATTCGAGTCGGTGAACTCGGTGGGCAGCAACAGCATTCCGGCAACCGAGCATCATTATATAATTTATACAAATAACATAACAACAAAACATAACATAGTGATCTCGGCGCTGAAGTGTAGGCCTGTTGTGGCATGTCGCCGATTCTTTTCTTTTTCACGCCTTGTTCACAGAAGATCTAATATCGTGTCATTTGACCGGATATTTTCATGACTGACGATAGTTTGAAATAGCTACTAGACTTCCACCGGGTTCGATAAGGAGCTAGGCATTTCAAATCTGAACATATATTTTACTATAGCTTTATCTAGTCTGTTCTTGAACGCGTTCATACTTGGAGCGCCAACGATAAAACACAGAAACAAGCCAAAAACAGCACCGTTGCCAGAATTTAATTTCGGCTTCTTAAATTGTCGATTTAAATTTCGCTCGTTGAGAGACTGTAGCCAGTACTCAGTAGCCAGCCTCAGTCCTGATAGCCTGTAGTGCTGTTACTGCTGTAGATTGTAAAACATAGCGTTGGCGTTAGACAAGACTTAGAAATATTAAATATAATCTATCAAAAGTGAAAGTATTTAACGTCAAGGATTCTAAAATATTAATAAAACTATCGCAGAGCGTATCAAAGATGACAAGATTAAACGGCGAGGGTCCTATACTCGTAGTAGCAAGAGATATAATATTATAAAATACACTTGATGAGAAACTTCTTTACGGAATAGGTTTACTTCAGCATACGCCAAACTCGTTTTCTAATTTCAACAGTGTCATAAAAAACTACATCATTTGAAGGCTGACTGATATGAATAACCTCATAAGATGATGGAGATGTGTGAATAAAGAAAAATATATTTTGAGTACTCTTTAAAATTAATTTAATATAAGATTACCTTTCATAGCAAAATATCATTCATTAACGGCCAAAAAGTGAAATATTCGATTAGTAATTATTGGTTGCAAAGTTGTCACAACTCACAAGTCACAAGGAGAGACGATGAAATTGAAATTTTATTTGTAACGCAACGTCGTCACGTCATCGACATCCGCAAAAAACTAATATTGTCCTCCGGTTCAGTATAAACTTGAGTTCACTACTTTCAGCTCACTAAAAAAATCAAGCATCGCTTCCTATGAATATTCGTGAAAATAAAACTGAAATAAGGTAATTTCTAAAAGAATTTATTTAGAAGCGCAAGTGTCATACCGATAAACAAGCACTCGCGTGTCATAGCATACCTGAAACCAAGCCGTATGCATGTCAACTACATGCAGCAAACCAACTCACATTTCTACTTAGCATTAAAGCGTTGTAATCAACACTGTCATGCGACGAGTGAACATGTAACAATATTTACTTTTAAACATTATCAGATATTACTCATAAATGTGCTAAATTATGCAATCAAGACAACAAGTTTCCCTGATTCACATCAGTTGCTAGGCCAACGAGTCGCCAACAAGCAGATAAGGGAAAAAATTATACGAACATTCGACCAAACCACATCATGAGCGCTGACTATCCAAAGCCTGAATTTCAAGGCAGTCAGTAATTTTACAGGCGATGGAGCGGTTAAAATAATTCAAGAAACGAATTTCTTATGAGGATATCCTGGTGGTCCTTTGGTTGCTACTGGAACCTTCCGACTTGGAAAGTGGTTGATCACACTATTTTCATCATTTTACAAGCCAATATTCTATATTGTGTTTGTAAGGTACTGAGATCATTCAACATATGAATACGTATTGCAAACACGACCGCTACAATCACCATCCTTCGAGTCGATAAACACAATTTTCCTTAATAAGCTGTTTAAAGTTTAAAATAAGACTAGAATTAAAGTGCGAAGTGCGTGTTGAAGATCTCGCATGCAGCAGTTTGTCACGCGAGCACACAACAAGTGGTTTGTACACAGCATTGCGTGCAAGTGTGCAATCAGGTACTGTTAAGCAAATAAAAAATAGAGCAAGTGTTCATGACGATAATAATGCAACGAAGATTGAGGGTAGTAGCGAAATTAACCATTGCAAAGCATTGCTTATCTATTAATGTCTGGGTACGAATAAATAACGAAGAAAGAAAGACGTTTGCCAGTCCACGATTGAACGCTAGCTCAAGAGACAAGAAATCGATCCCGATAAAAGAAATTCTAAGGTTCGACACAGCAATGTGAACAAAAAATGACATCGGAAGTCATGACCGACTTAAGATCGTAGCACAGAAGAGCCTCGCTCTCAAGCCAGTAATGACGAGGTAATAAGCTCGCTAAAAATCTGCGAACATTTCTGCGCCACATTGCTTCGTAGAACTGCGATAATGATGTTCTGGCAATGGTGGAAAAGTGCAAGACTCGCGGGAAAAACTGGTACATTAGGGCGCAAATCTTCCATGACATGAGGTCGATGTCGTCATTAGCTGGTCCACAAATTTATAGGTGATCGGGTAATTCATTGATGTAGGTGCTTCTTGTGGGCACCTTCATCAGGTAGCGAGTTTCTCTCCATATTTATCATATCTTCCTATAAATCCTATTAGTGATTTTAGCTATCCTCTCGGAGTGCTCGCAAGAAACGAGTTTCAGTATCAATCGTTCTATCTTCAGGAGATTATAGAACGAATTATATATTAAATTATAAGCGAATGAGTAACTACCAACTATCAACCCATATATTGTCCGGTATAACACACTTCTGCTTTCTAGGCGACACGCCCACAATATTCACCTCGGCCTGATGTGGGGGCGAGAACAGCTTTCATTCATGCCTACACACCTGCATTACTCAGGTGAAAGTATAATAAGTGGCTGAATCCTGGTCCTAAATGCGCTTTGTTAACATCCAAGTACAACTGCAGCTTTCAGAGTAATCTTAAGTGATGTTAACACGCTCACGGTTGGTTGTGTGTTTTAAACATTTTTTAAGTTAAGACAGCTAAAGGTACAACGAAGACGGTATTTTTCGGAATGCCAGGCATGAACAAATCCAATGAATCCAGAATAGATAATTAAGAATGCAGCACGAACAATGTATAAGTAGACTAGTTGATGCAATCGAGAACTCTATAGAAATTTAGGAGGTTTGGCCGTAACATTCTCATTATATAAAAGTAAATTTCTATTGAATTGGCGTCCTTTCCGAATTTATGATAACTCAGAACCAGACCAACACATAACTGCGTGGGTTAAAAATTCGAAAGTTCGAGGGAAAGTCGGCATGGAAATTATTCCTGGTTCCCAATTAAGAGTACATATCTCATTCATTATGATTGGAAACAACGGACAGCCTCGCATTGTTATCCGCCGCGCATAGCCTGCTCGTTTTTTTCGACAGGAAGAAGTGCATGCAAGCAAACGCGAGACTCGTCATTGATGAAAGCTTCCTCTGCAAGGCGCGACCTTTACTGAGCACAGTGCGATAGTGCGCAGCTGGTGGCCAACAAGCGCCCGTAATCATGATATCTTGAAACTGCGAACAAATACAAAGCAAAATAAACCAACGAAGGCACGGTATACGAAGATGTGACCGTCGTAATCGTAAAAATTAGTCACATGAAAACTTGAGCTTCTATTTTCTTGTAATTAATGCGATGCTATTTAATAATCTATAAGAAAATACACCATTAAAATCTTATGAATTATTATAGGAATTATCACGCATAAATAAGGAATTGTGAGAGCGCCGACTCAAATCACAAGTCACCTTGCAGAACGAACTTGCTTAAAGCGCATCCACGAAGCACCAATCGCCGAAGATCAAATGCAGTCTTATTTCTGGCGAGAGTGGCAACATATCACGCGCTCCATGTGCAGATTTTAGAGTATTAGCTTTTCGTAGACTACACCATTTTGCTGTCAATCCAATGAATATTACTTCCATAAGGGGCAGCATGCATAGAAACTGCATATTTCACTGTGGATAACGCGACCTTCTGTACGCCACAGCGCGCTGGCTGGTACAGCTAAACGCCGCCTTTCACCTCACCGCTGACAAGAGCTATTGGGCACCTGGCAACACTGGACCTCTACCATGGGTTAGGTAC